GAAGTACATCCATGATGGAAATGGAGATCTGATGACTGAAGTTGCCACTGGAGTACAGCAAACTCATTGTCATTTTTGATTGGTTTGAGCTTTGTGACATCATGCACTAAGCTCCGGCAAGTAGCCATTAAAGGATGGGAAGATTGTGTTTATAAAATGACAGATGTAGTCAGAAACTTCACTTTATTGAGGGGCCAAAGGTGTGTCAAAAAAATACCCCCAAACCTCCAACGTGAAAGAATAATGGAAATGGGGAGGGTTCTATACTTTAATATAAATTCTAGGATACATTTTCTGATGTCAAAGGTGATGCTGAGACCAGCGAAGCAGCCAGTTTTTCTGATTTTTCATCATTCAACTATAGTGACCCTTTTTAAACTGCAGCTCTGTTTTCTTTTTCTCAGCAGACAGGGGTAGCCCTCACTGTGACCTCTGGGGGCTGTGGCTCATCTCTGTCATGGTTTCACTGAAATATGCATTTGGAAATGATAGTTTGCTGCATCTTAAGTGGATACTGAACGTACTTATACTTTTATTTAAATTCAATCCAGTCTTCCAACTTTTCTGAGCTTCATTTTCAAGACAGCGTTTTCATCCATACAAATGGCACTGACTTGACATTCTCCCTTCTAGGGCTGAAACAATTAATCAGATTAATTGATTATTGTAAGTATCGTCAACTATTTAGTAATCCATTAATCGTTAACCCATATAGCAGTAATTATATCAAAATTTGAGTAAATATGTAAACATTTTGCATTTAAGATTAAAAAAAAGAACTTTCTGTGAATATGCTCTATCCAGAACTCCAGTGGAAATCTTTTTGTTTCACCTGGTTTAATTTTGTAAAAAATCTTTGATTCACTGAAAAATAAAATGAGACCGATCAAATCGAATTGCAAAATAATAATTTGTTGCATCCCTACTCCCTTCCAATTCAAGCCGAAGGTTTCTTATATAATGCCATGTTCAAAATCCCCCAAATAAAGTCCTGAATATTAATGCTCTGTTGTTCATCATGGCTAGCCTACCAAATACTTTAGGAAGTGACCATATGATTGGTTGATCGTTTTATCCATGTTAATAGAAAAAATGTATCTATTCTATTGGCCTATGAATGTATAGCCGTATTTGCTTGTAGAATGTCAATAAGTGGCTTCTAAACTATAATAGATTTACCAATATGGATCCAAGCACTCATATTTGGAGTAAAACTGGTAAATGACATATGACCAATGTGATTCAATAATATCATAATGCACAAATCATTTTAAGCATCTGAATATTTAAGATATGTAAAATATAATTCTACAGCAGTCTATGCATTTAAAATTGTTGATAAAGGAAACAGTTGGGGGTCAACTGACTTGTACCAAATAAAAGAATTTTTTCTAGCTTTTATTAAAAGTAAAAAAAAAAACACCTTTTTTCGAATCCTTACTATTCTGCATATACTAAGCATTTTGGATTTGCTGTAGCTGTGTGGATATAAAAACCATTGGGCTTTTACGTCAACATACACTAAGATTCTGGCAATAATATTCAAACTAAACATCTTAAAAAATAGAAAATAAAATTAAGGGTTTTCTCCAGCTGACTGGAGCAAACAACATTTACAGAATGGAAGGAACTTCTGAGCAAGTTTATAGATGAGGTTGCAGGAAGGAAGTGCGTCATCAGAGGCAGGGGAAAAAAGTGAAGAATCAGTCAGCAAGCTGCATCCTGTAAGCAGCTCCGGAGGAACTGATTTCATCAATCTCAGCCTCCTATGATTTACCAGTAATATGACGCTGCTCTGCCTTGTAAAGAAAGTTACTCTGGGAATCATATAATTTAAAGATTAACAGATGAGAAACAAAAATACAAAATACAAACACCCCTTTTGTGTTTTGTAACTGTAGGAGCAAAGAAAAGTTGATCCTGCATTTTAGCCTTGGTTAAAAAGCAGCAAAATCCATCCATCCATTTTCCATCACTCTTATCCCCGGAGGGGTCGTGAGAAGCAGAAAAATAAAACTTTAAATTGTTAAGAAACTCTGCTGGCTGCTTCTAATTTCATAAAATATATATAAATATTATTTAAACCTAATGCAGCAATTACACTATTTATTTTTCTTAGATGTGAATAAACACCTATTATAAAGTCTATACACCAAACAGGACATTTGTTTATGGTTTTCAAATTGGATGATACTCAAGCTAGTCATTAAGTGAGATTAAAACTGTTATCTACGTATGGCCCTAACAATGGGGTGTGGCTTAATATAAATTCAAGAGCGAGTCAAGTTTAAGGAGAGACTTCTTGCCTATTTTTTCCCTCATTAAAGCAGATCATATCACTACCACTAGTGTACAAATACATACTTTTGTGTTATCAACAAATATGGATGAACTTAAAAGCTCCTCAAAGGAATATTAAAATTTCAACATACACCATTTCGTTTTAATGGATAGACATAATTCATTAAATGAAAATGTAATTACTCATTCCTCTTTACGTCTTAATATATTGGTGAAAAACAAAAACAAAAAACTGCGCGTGTACGCCAACACTGGCTAACAATTGCGTAATTAAGATAATATCTGATAAAACCAGCAGACAGAATTGCTGCAAACAAGCATAAAAATAATAATAATAATAAAAAGTACGCATTAACTCGTAACCTATGTGTTAATATCCATGACACTGTCTCGATGAAAAAAGCTGTTGTCAATAATTTATAACTTTGACTCAAAGGGACAGCCAGTTTAGCTAGCTTTGGCAGTTAGCTGACAAGCTAACGTCATTAGCACTTGTCAATGCAGTCTCACCTTCAGTCTGACTTCGTACGTTGTATATCTGCCTCTGCCAACCCCGACAGTCTCTGGATTGCTCACGTCAATCTCAAGAAAATTACTCGGGGGTCCATACGCGTCATTTAAGTTCTGGGGCTTAGTGTACAGCCTTCTCGTATCAGCTATAGCATCAGCCATTTCTCCCTGTCCTCCCGAGCAGCTAGGGATGCTGTCAAGCTAGCCGCAACACGGATATGAACTTTATGCTATAGTTCTTCAAAATAAAATACCTAGAAAAATCACATTGTAACACCTAAAAGTATATTGGTAAAAACGTATTATAAAAACCTTATTATATATAAACTATATCAACAGTTTAAACTTTTGGCACAATTTATGTGAAATAAATATGATTATAGATTAAATACATGTTACTCTCTTTTATTTTGAAGTTACGTTGCGTCAATTCTGTAGCACACTGACGGGGTTGCATTTCCGATCAGCTGAGGTTCAGCTGACGAAGCCCAGCAACTTGTTTAAATCTAAGTTTGTTTACGACCTGCCAGCAGGAATGCTATTCTTGTTATTCATCAACATGATCATTAGTAGGAAGAAGAAACAATTATTATTATTTTTTGTTTAAGTTTTTAAACTACGCAATATTAAACTTTGTATGTATATAATATCCGTTTCTTTGCATGACTACATTGTATTTTGACTCATATCCATGTTAATGGAAAGTGCATTTATCTTGCACATTTAACAGCAATACAGAGTTGAATTGGGAAAAATAAAAGCAAATAAAATCATATGACAGTCAAAAAACCCAAAACAAATAAAGGTAGGATAAAAATAAAACTACAAAATCTACTTATATATTATTTTGCTGACACTATTTAGGTCTACTTTACTAATATACCAATGCCTTTTAATTAATTTTTTTTTTTTTTTGCTTAAATTTAAGTTTTCAGCCATTTATTTATAGTAAATGTGTTTATTTAATGATTACTTTCCTGTTTCCTTGGTTATTTCTTTGATGTTTCTTGGTGCATAATACACATTTTTGAAAGTTTTGTATGCTGTTGTGTTTTTATGTATTTTTCTTGAGGGGGGGTTATTAATTTCAATTTATCAATTAATTAAACTTTGCACTGATTGCATACATTCATGTAATTTTACTTGGCTATACTTATATACTGGATATAATGCTATCATAGTCTCAGTGGAAACCCATACCATGCAGGTCTGTCTGCGGTTGGCAAGTGCCTCTCTGACAATCTTACTAGACCTTACTTTGATCTTGTAATGCTTTCTTTAGACCTTAATGTGGTATTGATTGAGGATGAGGCAAGAGGAGAGTTACATAGATTCAATAAGGGACACCACGTGATATGAAATAAAAGAAAGGATTGCAATGAAATAAGAAAGTAAATGTTAGAACTAGTGTTATACTGATACCGATACCAATATCCCCCGATAATGCACTAAAATGGTGGTATAGGTATCGGCAAGTACCAACAAATAGTGCACCGATACCATGTTGAGAGCCAAAAGTTTATTCAGCTATTGTCACCCATTCCAGGTAGGCAATAAAAAGTTATACTGGATTCACTTTGTATCAGTGTTTTTCCTGCTTCACAAAGGAAGGCAGCAGCTTGACAAAGCCATGATGGCAATGATTTTACAGCCAAGTAATATGCAGTTCTTCATATATACACACGCACATCGATTTAAAACAGATGGTATCTGTATGGTATCGGTATCAACCAATACTGCACAGCCAGGTATCGGTATCGGGGCCAAAAAATTGCATCGGTGCAACACTAGTTACAAGGTATTAGATTTTTAGATTTAGACAGATTTATTTTGTCATCTTGTATACACGAGTGTATACAAAAAATTTGTTTAAAACAGCTCTAGACAACTTCATTTTTTTAAATGCAGCATTGAAATATAGTAATAAATACATAAAAAAATATGACTGTATATTTATAGTTCTAAAATTTATTTTTAACTAAATAAAATAACTACATTGAATTAAAATCTATGTCTATTAAATTCATGCACAAACACTAAAATGATTTATAGACACGCCCGTAGTGACAGAGCTTTTTCTTGATTAATTCTCTTTTTGAATTCTTTACAAACTGTTTCTTAACAAATTAATTCCATAACGGTGTTATAATGGTGGTTTTCCATTTATTTACGGTGTTACCTTGTCTTGTGTTCTGTGTTTCAATAAAGTTGCAGAGCTTTGAATCATCATGGCGTCCTTCATGGTTCCTGCTGCTGTCAGGTCTTCTGTAATGTTTTTGTCAACAAAACGACCTCAGCTCGTAAAGAAAATCTTCCTTCTGTCACGCAGTTGCACCACAGGAGGTAAGTTATGTTGTTAGACGTTTCGAAAAGTTTCGCATCTATCTACTGGTTATATTTATGTTCAAAACATGTTATAATATTTAAATCAGCAGTGTTAAAACTTTCCCTCTTGCCGGGTTCCTCCTCGGGCTCTCTGTCTCCAGGTGTTTCTGACTCCGGTGACATCGTGGGCCACTTTGAGCGGCTTGTTCAACGTGGTTCCCTTACGACAGACGCTCAGCAGAGATATGTTCTCCAGAGGCTGGCTGTGCTGCAGCAAAACCTAAAGACCTACAGTAACAGCTTTGACCTGAACACCCAGCAGCGTACAGACCATGTATCAGACCAAACGGTAACTTTGTCAGGATGTTGATTTTATGTTTTGATTTTACTATTCAATTATAACTTTATTTAATATACAGTAAATGGTCAATATTTTTTATATTGCTTCCAAGATTGATTAGAGGAGGAGCAGAATCTCTAAGAAGAGACTGCAGTTGCCTACGGGCCCCTGACCTCTTAGGGCCCCCGTCACTGATATCTGGTTGGCCCCCTACGCAATTGTAGACCAGAACGTCTTATTTCTACGGTGGCCGGGAGGTGCAATCCAACATTACAAAATGTTCCAAAACAAATGATCATTTCAAAACAAATTTACATTTAAAAAAACCTTTACAAGTTCCAAAGAATTCTGGAGTCAGCTCTGGAGTCTGATTCTCTGTTCAATAAGAAAACAACAGATATGTGTTAATTCTAACCTGTAACTCTTGAGTCATGGTCCTCTGAGAAGCCCAGGTTTTTTAAACTATATAAATATACACTCTGTTACCATTTTTAGCTGAAAAACTTCCATATGTGTAATGAACAGATTTTTCGGTGGCATCACTAATTTGTTTAACCAGCCCGTCTCCTAACTTTTAATGAAACATATGTCGAAGTAGCTGCCGGTTAAAATTCACTGAATGCTGCTGTGTCTCTCTTCCTCCATGTAGCTACTATGTACGCAGTGACTAGCGACACTAAATAATATTATGTCCCAAAGCACAGATCCAATGATATTTCAAGAGGTGGGACTCAAGAGCAGCGGGAGAGCGAGGAAAAGACACGACTGAAAACGCTCTTGAACACAGTTAGCTGCACCCAACCCCAGTTTCTGTTGGCTGAAGTAAATCAGCAGAAAGGGAGGAAAAAGCGGAAATTATTGGTGGGGACATGTCCACACCAGTCCTCCAGAAAGTTACGCCAGTGTCATAGACTGTCGGAGAGTTAGCAGTGAATGCTTTCAGTACAGGGACAAAATAACGGGCCAGGATCAGCTTGCCAGGGGAGTTTGCCGCTGTTGGCTCCTGTGAAGAACCACCTTCCTTTTCCACACATTATCATTACATGCCACATTTATTTTTTTTTAAACTGCTCGTTGGATTGCGTTTCCATAGGAATGCCATGTTCATTGCAGTGCAGTAGGTCTTAGTTTGATCTTGACAGGTGCTGGGCACATTCCAAACCTGCAGATTAGCCTATTAGCTTGACCATCAAGCACATGTCATTGTCTGTAAATATCCTTATCATGTGACAGTTCCGTAGTGACACAGTGGCCGAAGAACATACGTTCCTCATTGACATTTCACAGAGAAAAGTCAGGGAGCAAAATATCACTATATCATCTGCTCCCATTTGGTGGTTGATAATCCTGTTAAAACCCTGAATCTTGTTCTAAAATCATTTAAAAGCATTCACAAATCATCAATGCATTGAATATTACATAAATGAACATTTAATGCATTAAATACAATGAATAGAGAGGGAAAGAAAATATTTTGTACTGAAATGTTACATTTCCTGTACAATCCTAATAAAAAAAGAAATAAAATACAATAACTCAACTCTTAGACGAATTATGTATTGAAATGTGTTTTTTATTGATTATTTCACCATTCATTCTTCCTTAGTTGAAATGTGAGAGGACCCCTTATTTTGACTTGACATTATTTCCTTCACTCTACCCTAGAGAGGCTGTCCATATTTGTCCTCAGATGGTAAGGCCTCTTCTAGTGACCCTATTGTATTGTGTTTTCTATTATTTTGTCATCCAGTTTTTAATGGGTTGTATGGTTTTAACCCTTGGTAAAAGGTCTTATAAATTCTAGCCTATTAGCAAATCTGAAGGTTTTTGGCCAAAGCTGGAAGGTATTTGGAACTATTTTGTGATACCACAACGTCCATCTAACAATAAGAACTAGCATTACAGGGAATTTGGTATCTTTTTAAACATTTCTTTATCCAACCTACCTGTTTTTCAGCTGAATGGAGCAGTGGATATGCCACATTAAATGTAGAAAATGTTCAGAAATAATTTATAATGGTTCCCTTTTTTACATTATAAAAACTTATTTTCAACATTGCTGTGCAGGCTTTAGAACCACAGTAGAAAGGAACCTTTTCCAGTTGTTGAGTAATTCCTTGATGTGAACAAAACCTTATTAATATATTTTTCTTTCTTGTATTATTATGTCTAGAATCTTTTACTGCAATGGTTTCTGTTAAATTTTTATTGATTTTTGTTATGAAAAGGCTTCCTACCTTGAATATAGATTGACGTTCCTCAAATAACCTCCATGTGGTATTGTTTAAAATTTAAAAGGCTTGGGAGGTCTTCTTTTTTTCATTAAAATAACCTTCTGATGTATCTATTTTCTTATAATTGGCATAGCTTAGTGAAAATTACACTGTTAAAGTAACTAAAGTACACATTCTGAAGTTCTCTCTAGTGGTAGTAATGTTGCCCAATTGCAAGCAAATCACTTTATGTCTGGTGATCATCATTGAGTGTTTTCACTTGTTGTTGCCACCTGTTCTCCGCCAACTGCCTGTAACACGTCGCTCCACTCACTATGCCACGGTTATTCCTTCAGCTCCTCATGTAGACTGCAAGTTTCTCATAAACTGAGCCATTCCTCTTCCTGTTTCTGGTCTGCATGTGCACAAAACACATCCAAACAAGACGATTCCTTCTAACTCCTTTAACTCCTTTCCAGAGCGGAGTTAGTTCAATTGAAAAACGGGCTGAATGCTTTTGCAAATCACATTCTTCAGTTTTTTTATTTGTAGAAAATGTTTTGAATAATTATATACCACAGAATATATATATATATATTTTTTTGTTGAGAACATCTAGCAGAACTTTAAGCCCCTGAAGTTCTAACAATAAGGGGGTGTTCAGTTAACTACACTGTATTCCAGTTGCGTCAATTATGTTGACCAAGGGGTTCAGGTCGAAGGCAGGGTAGGGGTCTGGGAAGTTTATTGTGCGTGTGAGTTATGAACAGTGTAATGCAGGGGGCTGTTGTTGTTTTTAGGTCAGAGGAGCTCACTGTCTCTTATTTGGTGCTGGGAGTCTCTTTTTTTTGTGTGTTTTTGTTGGTGTGCTGGCACAGACACCACCGGTTTAGGCAGAGATTTTGGAAGGCAGCAGGGCAGGCCTCCTGCTGGGCCTGTCCCGGCAGCCCTCTAACTCTCTCACCGTCCCCACGCAGTAATGAGGGGATCCCTATTGTTTGGCCATTCTTGTCTTTTCTTGCTTTTGATTTGGGCATCTGACAAATGCTTTGGTGTTAGGCTATCAACACCAGCGCAGGCCATCCTGCCCGTCCACCCCTTTCTTTTTGCACCTATTTCTTGCTCTCTCTGTGTGTCACACACACACATTCTCAATGACTGGAGTACTTGCACAATTATTCCAGTTTAAATCAGGTCATACCACAGTCCTTCGGTGTCCGTTCTCTGTGAGAGTGCCACCATTGTCCCCACTAACTGACCGAGTCTGAGAGGAGAGTACAGTTGACTTAATATTGACCCAATGTGGCGTGGTTTTGCGGATGGTTGACTGACAATGGGCTATTGTTTAGTCTAAGCCACCCTCTTTAAGTCAGACAAACGGCATTGAATCCATCGCAGGAAAGTTAAACTTGAGCTCCTACTATCTCCTTTTTGATGACTCTAATGTGGGATGCAAAACTTTGACTTTTAACAAATTAACTAATTTAAAAGCCGAAAAGGCCCATGTCTTGAATGTGAACTTCCCACACATGCGCTGGTTCGTATCATCCACCAGAAGGCTAGACTGGGCTGCAAAGTTCAGCCAGACAAAGTCGCTGAGGGAGAGCCTTGTCCTTCTCCACTCTGCTGTGGCAGGATGAATACCAGTCACAGCTTACAATTACCCCACCAAGCTGGAGTGCAGCTTGGGGAGTCAGAGAGGAGTCACACGATGTTATGCCAGAGCAAACGAGGACAGCCTGTTGCTTCTCTAGTTTTTTGCAACTAGTGTAGCAGAAGCTAATTCATTTAGGTTTTTATCTGCAATGGCTGGCGTTTATCAGAGTCAAGTGCTTCGTCTGCAGTGGGGACCAACTGCATGTGGACTCCCAAGTACCATCCTCAGAGAATGCTTTTTAAATTAGATATTAAGAGGACAATTATTTCCATTCAGTTCAATAGGGATTCTTCATTGTCCTGTCAAAGAGAGATACCCCAACTGCAGCAATCCCAAAGCACTTTAATTTAGCCATCTACCAAAATATATAAGCTTCTACTTATTTATATTTTTGTAACAAACTTACATAGAAATGCTTTTTTGTCTGTTTTGGCAGTTAGTTTTCCCCAATATTCTTAACCTCGTCACATGGTACACAGGGTTTTTTTGGAAGCAAAGACCTTTTGGAAAATAAGAGGCAGGCAACACAATGACTTCCAGCAGCACCTCAATGCTACATTACCGTATCACAATTAGCAGCGCTAAACGGGCCGCGCACACAAGTCCACTCCATCTCTTACGGAGCCTCATCCAGACCCCTCCGTTTTGTCTGACAAATCCCCCCATTGTTCCTGTGATGATGCTTTTCTTTCGTGGGAACCCTGGCTTGTCTTGTTGATTAGATCCCCTTTGTCTTCGTCTCCTGCTGTAGGCCAGTCTGGACCATATGAAACCTCACACTGTAGAGCTGGCTTTATGCCTTGGCATACCTTGTGTATTAAATGATGCTTTATTTATCCTACGTTATATATATGAAAAGTGTTTTACTGTGAGGGGCAGTAAGAGATTCTGTCTAGGCACACAACAGAAAAATTAGAACAGTAAATAGGAAAACTGCTATATTTGACATATTTCGATTATATTACAAAACTTTTTTTTTTTTTTTTACATAAATGTAAGTAGAAATCCATATATACCGTAGAAAACTGCTGGTAATGTTTGAATATGGAAGTGAAAAAATGAAATATTTTTGGAAGCCAATCTTATATGAAAAGGGCTTTGTTGATTTAAAATGTTATAGTAGTTTTTAGGTTCCTGCAGAAATAGATTTATGGTACATAAAGAAAAAGTTGCACATCAACAGGTGGGGGAGGGTGCACAGCGCTGATATTTTTTTTCCTGTAGAATCTCATTTCAAGGACTAAAACTGTAATTCATCTATAATAACTTTTTTAAGGGGGGAAGTTACCACAAAACTTTTAAGCTCTCATTATTAAAACATTTTTTGCCTTCAACGATCTTTAAACCTGACCTGTGGCTCTTAAAATGAGGCGATAGGAGGCCAAAAAAAAAATAACTACCATATTTATTAGAGAAACAATGATCAGGAAATGTTCTTTTAAGGTTTTTCCTTAATCTAATGATTTGCTCTTGTTTTGATTTAAATTGTTCTAGCATTTGAAAGACTGATAAAATGATCCCACTGAATTAAACACAGATTTTGTCATTGTAGATGGTTGATTTTTAGACTATGTAATTAAAAAAAACAAAATTTAGGTTAAATGTTTGATATTCTGGTGATGTTTATACCTGTAGCCAACTGCTGGTAAAAAAAAAAAAAAAAGTCAGGAGGTTTAAATATATGTTTTGCAGTGAAATGTTTTTGGAAGCCAATCTTATATGAATAGAGATTTATTGATTTTCCTAGAGTCAGTTTTAACAAGTTTCCATATATTCATATAGATCAATAAAGAGGAAAAATGTGCTACTTTTTTTTATTTAATTTTTTATTTTGTTTGTTTGTTGATAGTGGTTATAGTTTTGAGTCCAAACAGTAGGAAACAGTAGAAGATTATTGCAATCTATAAAATAAAATGTTTACATTTATCTGATTCTTGTATAACTTCAAAAACAGCATCAAGTGTTTTGCAGATTTTCAATAAAACCAGTTAGAGCAGAATAGGAGAAAAGTAGCTGATTGATTTTCCATCGGATATTAACTCCGATATGTCGTTAATATTATTATAGGTTGTTGCTGTTCATTTCAAGTGAGATGATATTAGGGTAATAGAATGTTTTAAGTTTCTTGGAGCTGGTGTCTTTGAGCCGAAATGTTTATTTACTTGAAATAAGTAGATCTTATTGCAGCTGCTTCTGAAATTCTTGCTTACTGTTTTAAATGCTTTTATGCTTGAAGTTGTCTGTGCTGCAGTCTGGCCAGGACCCTGTTATCAGGAGTTCCCTGGCTTATAAAACATGGTAAATCTGACTTATTTTTTTATTTTATTAATCTCTTTTTTTCTCTAAAAAGCAAACCCTTCCTGAAGAATCACGACCACCTAAAGGACTCTATATATATGGAAACGTTGGTAAGAAGCTGCATAATTAACTTGATTTACAAAATAAAACAATTCTTTCTTGCTTTTTCAATTTAAAACTGAAATAGTCTGGTATAAGAATTAATTAATCTCTACTTTCTCCAATTTTCAACCCTTAAGGCACAGGGAAGACTATGCTCATGGATTTGTTTTACTCCCATGTGACAAACAGTCGCAAGAAGAGGGTCCACTTCAACAGCTTTATGTTGGACGTCCATAAAAGTAGGCATCTTCCTATTCCTCATAATGTTTTGACTTCCTAATTTCATTTTTCTAATTCCTTACCTCATCATGCATTGCCAAGCCTATATTTAGCCCTCTGTTTGTCCCTGTGCTAATTGTCTGCCATTATCCATCCAGGTGAAATTACAGCTTTATTCAGCGCAGTCAGTAGTTACGGCTGTCGACGCAGGTGCGCTTTTAAGATTTTTCTGACATTTGTGTGCTGCTTAAAGGGATCCACCGAAGGAAACAAAGCCTGCCGAAGCGAAGACTAGGGAAAATGTTCACCTATGACCCCATATCCCCGGTTGCCATGGAGATCAGCAGAGAGATCTCCCTGTTGTGTTTTGATGAGTTTCAGGTGAGGAAATGCATTGCAGATATTGTTTTAAGGTGATTGTGGGGAAAGAGTGTTTATTTTCTAAAAGGTTGTTTAAGAAGTTAACCAGACAATAAATTATATTTAAATTATTAACATAAAAGTGTTTTATTGATTCTTGTCACATGAGTATAGTTGTGATAAAAGCAAATATATGCTATAATATATATGCAGTGTTATTTCTACATTTGCTACATTAGAAGCACAACATTCTGTGTATTTTGTTGGAACTTTATGTAATATACTACGTAGCAGCATTCAGTAGCTTATCAATTGTGAAGAGGAAGGAAAAGATTTTCAAAACGTTTTATAGATCTTATAGATGTTGCACTACCCGATCTGTACGGGAAGCACGATCTGTACCATCAGCTCATTTGTGCATGTGCAAGCAGATATTCATCCAGGTCCTCATAAATAATGTTTTTGTGGTACTAAATTAAAATCCTTAAGACACTAAAGAATGCTAAAACAAATCTTTAAAACATTTTTATGGCTTTTTCGACACAATTTTCATGCTTTTTACATTTCCTCCGACAAACAGCTAGTCTGGCGTCCCCATAGGACATGCTCAGAGTAGTCTGGCAAAATATGATTAAGACATGTTTATCTTTTGTTTTTACTTATTTCTTTCTTTAGGTTACGCATAATATACCATAAAGTTAACACAAAGGAAAAAACAAAACTTAGAAAGACTAGATTTATATTTAAAGCTACAGTGTGTAATAATTACAGGGATATACAGTCAGAAATGTAATATATTATACATAACTATGTTATTTATCATCATCTACGAGCTCAGCCTCTTAACCTTAATATTTGCGTTGCCTTAGAATTCGTTATTTATAATTACATAGGAGCGGGTCTCGCAGCCATGGAGGCAGACATCTTTGCGCTACGGCAGCGCAGAGCCAACAAACTAGTGATTGCGAGATCGCCCATTACGTCACAACGATGTAGAAAAAATAACGGTTTATGTCTACATGAAAATCTATACCCTACACAGACTAATGAAATACTATCTGTAAAATTATCTATGTAAAAAAAAACCTCATCACTTGAGAAGGTAGGTGATGCGGACGTTGTGGAAGACATTTTGTCCCGTAACGCTCGCCGTACTGTTGGGGGGGAGAAGCGGTGGGGGGGAGATGTTCATGTTGCTGCGGTCTGCAGTCTGGAACTTAGATGTCGCTGAAAATTACACACTGTAGCTTTAAATCCAAAGCCGAAAAAGTTAGCTCTTGGAAGTAGGGTAGGATTTCTGTAAGATTTCCTGGACAGATGGGCAGAGACGAGTGATAAAACAGAAAGGATTTTAATGCATTTATTTTCTCAGGAAATAAACGATTAACCTTTAACACATTATAGTTTATTAGGCATTAGTTTATTAAGGAGGGAAAAACATAATTTAGGTCATTTATAAAAATTAAAATCGAGGTCGACCTGGACATATATCTGGTTGCGCATGTGCAAATGAGCTGATGGTACGGATCGTGCTTCTTGGATGGATGGGGTGTTGACAGGTGTATCTTTTCAACTAATTCATTTTTTGAACTTTTTATTTAATACCATGGACTTCAGGTGGTCCATCACCGTCCAAAGTTCCACTGGCAGTACATAGTATGGGAGAAATAGTCTTATTTCTTCTTCAGGAAGAATAGAAGAACTGGTGAGAACTTATGGGAGAATGTGGAGAAAAATTCAGGGTAATCTTGGAAGTGAATCTTATAGGGGTTATGTTGCCTTTAGACGAAGGTGGAGTTCACCTTCCAACACACGAGCCGTCAGAAATAAACAGACAAAGCCATAATAAAAAAAGTACTTTATCAAAGCATATTGATGTGTTAAAAGCCCTAGTCAAAGTCTGGACTTAATAAAATAATTTCAGCTGAATAATAAAAATTCATACCCTACTAGTCCGATTTTTATTTGTAAAGAAACACTGCAAACCTATATAGAGCATGCCTTCCTCTTAAGTTATGTGTCACTTTGCAGTGAAATGCATTGAACTTTGTAGGTGTTAAACGGCTGAATGCATAAATAGGAGCCTATACGTGTCCACCATTTACTGATTAGAACCAGAATAAGCACATCAATTTCAATTTATTCAAGCATTTCTTTAGATCAGAGTAAAGTGTGATTCTCTCTGTATAAGCAACGCTTTGATTTTGAACTTAACAAAAAGGGCAGAAGCAGGGACACCTAGTGGCTGGCTTTAAACATAGCAGTATTTGAACATTATGTGCACATTACAGGTCTTAATAAGAACATACATGTGCAGTTTCTTAAAATTACTTTTCTTGGATTGTTTTATTTGTTTTGCTTTAGAGAGCCACAAATAAAGCTCTTCCTATTCTTTACCTTTTTATTTTCAGAGTAGAAGGGCTTGTGTTTCACAGTGTTTCATCAAACATACTGCTCCTGATATTATTACAGTTAATAAGAGGGGAGGTCAGAGGTCGCTGGAGCAGTGATTGTTCCCTCTAATAACTCTTTATGCTTCTACTGAAGTCAAGCCAGGCTTCACTGGCTTTTTATTGGTCATTCATACACTAAGAAATATGCTACCAATGCTGGTTTGGACTTTCATTATCTTTTATTATCAGGCTTTAAATTAGTTATTAGGTGCCTCTGTGCATATGAATATATGAGAATAATTTAAATTTGTCTTGTTTTGTTTTTTTATTTAGGTAATGTTTTACATTATTAATTTGTGCACTTTATTTCAGAATGCCTATTTAGTTTATCTAAAACAAAATTGTTGTTTCCAGTTACTGATTTCATGTAGGTTTGATAGTAAGGCATCCCCAGTTTTTTCTCACCAAATATCAAGATCTGATGTTTAATTTCAAAATTAAAGCCTCTCAAAATCTCTACAGGGTGGAGTTTTTTTTTTACTATGTTTTAGTGAGTATTGCTAAGAAACTCTCTGTTTCCGGTTACCGTTTCCCCTTCAGGGTGATAGTAGGTGCTTCTTACCAGATATAATCAAGATCTGATGTGGTTTTTCAAAATTAAAACATCTCAAAGTCTTAAAATTTGGTCATGATTATCTAAGTTTTATTGTTAATATTGCTGGGAAACTTCAGGTTTCCGGTTATTGATTGCAATTTAGGTTGATGATAGAGCACCCCTATTGGCTGCTCAAAAAAAGCCATCAATGTCTGATTTGGAATTTTGAAATTTTAATACTATTGAAATATTACTGAATCAGTTGTCTGTCACTATATTTGAATCAAACGTAACTTGAAGTGGACTGAGTCCTGTTACAGATCACTTTAATGTTGACATGTAAGGGGGAACCCGTTGGGTTGTAGAGTCTGGTTACAGACCTCTAGCAAGATGACTTGTATCTCATCACAGGAACTGGCTGGTTGTAGTGTGTAAAGGGGTTTCTGCAGTGGGTCTGTGGACCAATGAGGGGCCTTGTTTTTATCACTCCCTATTTTTATCAGTATGTGATGTTTTCCTTTTGCTTCGATTGCCCTTTCTTTATTGTGTGGTGGATGTGGTAAAGTGTTGTTATTACTAGAAAGTAACATAGCTAAGGAGGCAGCTGGAGCTGGTCTGGGAGGATTTAAAGTTTGAATAGAAAACACATACTTATACTTTCTCATTTGATAGTATGTCCAAAATTAAATACATCATAAGCTTATAGCATAAAACAATTCGCCGAGATAGCAGTCAACACTAAATTCCTCATTCGGCCATGTGACCCGCTGAGGCGCTGTAGGATGCTGTGACGTCAGTTTAGTCAGGAAGTAGTCATTTTATATAGAGAGTCAATCTTTGTGATTGAGTTTTTATCCTTTAATGAGGACGAATACAAAGCATTCTGAGTCTTAGTGGTTTTATTAATGCTTCCTGGTTTAATCACAGCTGCTAAATGTTCTTTGATCTAATGAAGAGCCGGTGGATGTTCATTATTTTTCAGAACATTATCCAGATGATGGTCTGTTTTCATTAGTTTAAACCAGAGTCTAACCTTTTGTTTGCAGGGGGGATCACCAGATTCGGACTGGTTCTCTGGTGGTTTTGTTCAGTCCGGTTGGCAGCGTGCTGCTGCTGCCGGACATGAAGGCTGGTGGTCAGTGTTGGAGCCCTGTGTGCGGTGCTGGCAGTTCTGGATAGCAGGCTGTGCTCCGCTGCTCTGCCTGGATGGGGAAAGCGGTCCCTCTGTAATCTGATCACAGCGAGTGTTCCTAGCACTGGGTCCTTTCTGCTGTCCAGGTGGGAAACATTGCTCTTCGGCTGTGGTTATTACCCGGTTTGGCTCATGGCTCCAGACCGGTGGGGTTCAAGCTGTGGGTCTCCACCTGCGGTAACTGACTGTTGTCCAATGAGCCTGGACCATAATGATATGGGAATCCATGTGGAGCTGCGGCTATACTAAACTGTGCAACTAGCTAGGGTTCATTGTAATACAATATTTCATAAAAAATAAACAATGCTTTGAATGAGCTTTATTGCCATTGGGCACTTAAATAAAGATATACAACAGAGAAAACAAGCCATTGCAACTTTGATATAAGGAAAGTAGGTGTTCACAGTTTTGGGTACACTCATTAAGAGTTATTTTGTTAAGTTGCATTATTTTGTAGGTCCTGTTTTGGTTCCTGGTTACTGGCACAATTGGTGCTTTTGCTGAAGGACAGTGGCTGTACTACTGCTATTTTAGATATCATTAACTGGTAAGCAGTTAATAGAGGTGTCTTACTGTCACTCTTACCTGAAATCAGTGACTGTTTCTAGTCACTGATTTGTCGCCATACAACTTAGATAAAAGTGACGAATTTTACAAGAGGCTTTAATTTTGAAATTACACATTAGATGTGGATAACCATTAGTGATAAGCATCTAGGGGTGCACTCCTGTCACTCTGAAGTATAGTCGGTAACTGGAAACAACGGTTGTTTAGGGAATATTGACAGCAACTAAGATAAAGGTGATTGATTTGACAAAATATGAGAGGCTTTAATTTTAAAATTCCACATCAGATTTGGAAGGCAATTGGTGATAAGCATTTAGGGGTGCCATACTGTCACTCCGAAGTGAAATCAGTAAATGGAAAGAGTTTCTTTGCAACATTTACTGAAACGGAGAACAAATTTTAAATTTTATAGATTTAGAGAGGCTTTAACCCCGATTTCCTACATCAGGTCATGATGACATTTGGTGAGAAGTAGCTCTGGGTGTCCTACTGTCACTTTTAGGGGAAATTACTAACAGGAAATGGAGAGATCTTAGCAGTATTCACAGAAACATAGAGAAAAGGGACCTATTTTACAGATTTATTTTGAAATCCCAAATCACACCCTCATGGTATTTTAGGGGTGTCCTACAGTGAGCTGATGTGGAATCAGCAAACATGGAGTTTAATAGCAATATTTGCAGAGACATAGAGATAAGTGACGAATTTTAAGAGATTTTTAGAGGCTTTTATTTTGAAATTCCACATCAAACCTTTATGACCTTTGGTGAAAAGTATCTAAGAGTGTCCTATTGTAATTATGAAGTGAAATCAGTAACTGGAAATTGGTTTTATTAGCAATAGTCAAGAAACAAAAGAAACATTCCCAATGTTACAGATTTTGAGAGGCTTTAATTTTGATTTCCCACATCAAATCATGATGAGATTTGGTGAGAAGCAGCTCTGGGTGCCCTACTGTCACCCTGAAGTGAAATTACTAATTGGAAACGTGGAGCTTCCTAGCATTATTCACGAAAAATAGATAAAAGGGACCTATTTAATTGATTTTGAGGCTCTTCTTACATTTTCACACAAGTATCTGTACTTTCTATTCCTTACATTTTTAAAACACTCGTTACTCTTGGCTTTGGTTTAATGTTTATAAATGTTTATTTCATGTCATATGCGCCATCCACGTCAAGTGAAAACTAGTGTAATATGATGAGTCATATAACGCAAACACTCATTGGTTAGCTAAAGGAAATCATCAGAAGCAAGCAGGTGTTCTTCAAACTGTAAACGTGAATTGTCTATGCCATGTTACAATGACGGATTCAGAAAAAGATGTTGAAATGTCTGAAAGGTCGGACACAGGCGAGAGCGTATCGGCAGATTGAAACGAGACCAACAAGACCTCCCTCATCCTTGGACCTATCTCAAAGAATTTTTCAAAATAGTTTTAAAATTGAACTTTCACTTCATATAGTGGCATCTGGCTGTTTTTTTTTTAAGGGTTACTTCATACTTTTATACTTTCAGTAGTTTTTGGAGCACATACTTTTTTCACTTTTATTTGAGTAAAGAGGTCAAGTTGATACTTCAACTTTTACCAGAGTGTTTTTAAACTGCAGTAGCTAAACTTCTACTCAAGTAACAAATGTGTGTCTTTTTGATACCACTGTTTTTTAAGCCACGGCACTGTTTATCTGCTCTTGTTGATTTGCTTTGTGCCTTTGCCCGGCTTTGCAGTTTTTCAGTTTGTCAACTGTTGCTATCAGTGAATGGAGGGAAAACAAGCGGACATGCCTTGTTTGGGATGCATAAACAAGAGGTTGGGAGATTGTGTGCATGTGTGCGGGGCTTGTACCAATCAGCATCCTTCTCCACTCAGCCATGCAAATGAGGCTCCGGGTATCAGTCGCGCTCTCCTGCTTCCTTAAGTGAGTGGAGCTAGAAAGCGACTGGCGGTGGCGGGTCAGATGGATCTTATCCTCTTAAATGCTAATGACATTTCTCCATTCTCTTCATTAGCTCTGTGCCATTATCAGTAATTTGTAGCCCCCCCCTCCCTCTTTTCTCTCGGTTTCTCCTAATGAATACTCGCCGTTGAGAGGTCCGAGATGGATGGACGGGAAGACGGCGAGGGAGGAAGAGGAAGAAGAAGCTTAAGGATCATTGTCTTACGGCCTCTGTCACAGTGCAGTCTCCATCGGTGAAATTACTCATAGGTTGTGTACATAAAGAGGTGTAACATCAAAAGAGGCTTCATTTGGCACCCCATGCGCCTTGCAGCAAACCGACACACACTTGAGTAATTGGCTGCTCATTTAAATTTCGCCAACAACTAACAGAGATTGCACCATTATTTTTGTGCTCCACAAGTGCCACATCGGTTCCCCCTCCACCTTTCTCATTCTGTGGGGATCCATTCTTTCTCTCCTTTCTCTCTCCACTCACCCAGCAATCAATATTGCCCCTCATACCGTGCCCATGTTGAGGGCACATGAATAAACAAATCCATGTCGTATAAAAGGTCATTTTTAAATGATTCTTTTGAAATGAAAATAAAATCCTGTGGTCGCAGCAAACACAGGGGCCCCTTCAGAGAGACACAGAGCCTTGGCTTTCTGTTGATTCTCATTACGCTTTCTCACAATCACTGGCTCGCGTGCGCACGCTCTAATTTGATGCCCTTAGCCACCTCTTCTCAGCAAAATCAAGGCTTTAACACAAATGTTAATCAAGTATTGGCAAGGGCAGTGGAGCTAATATGCAAAAGCAGAAGACTCTTCAGTGTATGAAAGGAGGCATATGCTGTGGGTATGGCAATCAGAAGGGCCTGTTATTTACAGGAAAAGTAGGTAAGAGGAGAGGGCGGTGTAACGGACACCTGCTCGGTCCGGTAGCAGGCCAGGATCTGGATTCAGCAGGGTTACAAGCAAGAGTCTCTGCAAAGCAACAGGAACTAAACTTTAAGACAAGCTGTGTGTCATTTTCAGTCAACGTCTATAAAATAGTCGTACCTGGAGATCAAAAGTGCTGTTTTTAATTTTTTATATTGTACAGTGGCCAATTTAGATTTATATCGACCAACACGAATAGTGTAACCCACTATTGTAAAAAGGAATGAGTTTTTTTCTGTTTTTATTTAAGAAAGAAAAGAATTAAAAGGTTTGGCTTCATTTCCATCAAAACCCTAAACATGTCAGGGATAAAGTAGTGAAAAAGTTGAAAGCAGGAGTATGTTATAAAACATGTTCCGTTGAAAATGTCTCAAGGCACTCTTTGACCAAGACATGGCTGGCAGTCTAAAGGGATCGTCAGAGAATGAATATATTCTTTCTCACCCACTATGGGCAGTCTCCCTTTTTTCCTCCAAGCTTGAGCCTGGGAGCTTGATGGTTCTCTGCAGTATCTTTGCTGTTCCTAGAACTGCACTTTTCTGGATCGAGATGTCTGATGTATATCCAGGGATCTGCTGTAACCACTCCTTAATTTTGGGGGTCACTGTGCTAAGTGCCCCAATGACCACGGGTACCACTGATACCTTGACCTTCCAGGTTTTTCTCCAGTTCTTCTCTGAGCCCCTGGTATTTCTCTAGTCTATCATGTTCATTTTTCCTGATGTTGCAGTCACTTGATATTGCTATGTCAACCACAATGGCTTTCCTCTGCTTTTTGTCCACCACCACAATGTCCAGTTGGTTTGCCATTACCATTCGGTCCGCTGACATCTACTTTGTGCAATGCCCTGTGTTGGAACCACCCAGTATGTGGAAACTAATAATTTTTCCCCTCACTGTGGCAAAATGTATGTTTCTACAACTGTGAGTTACTGGGAAACTAGATAAGTAATGAAATAATTAGATAAGCAACTGAAATGTTTTGACTAAACTAAGTGCCTTGAAACCCAGTGGCGCCTCCAGAAATGTTTCATATGGGTGGGCTGATGGGGCCACTAAAAATCTTGGGGTGGCACACTGAAGCTGAAAGCCATAATTTCAGGATTTGAATCTACTATTGTGGTGAACCTTTCTGTAGAATTCATAAAGACTTAAGTAAACACCTATTCATACCTTGGTTTATTGTTTAATTTTTAATGTTAAGTTTCTGGATGTGTATAATGGGATAAAATGCTAGACTGATGCTACTACGATTTACATTGGCGAGTAGGGTGGCCAGTGGGTTTTTGGCCAGGGCATTGCACAGCGTGGCTGTGGCCACCCTCGGACTATATAGTGAAAAAAAAAATCCAATTAAGTACATTTAATATTTTTGTTAAATAACATCAGTATGAATATTTTAATGTACTGTTTTATTCTCTAAACTGAGACCAGAAAGATTTCTAAATTCATGTGTATTTTTTATTTATATATCATCTGGACAGGGCCTCTAGATTCACTATTTCCTTACCAGTCAACCTTTAATCTAGAAATTATTTCCTTATACAGTCCAACAATCGGTCTTAGTTAACATTCAACAATCAAGTATGCTGCAACATTGGACAGTACTGATTAAATCTAACTGCAATCTGACTCATGGCAGACTAACATTTAACATTTGGGTTTACAGTGCTTAAAGACCCAGCATTTAAAGACACAGAAAAATAAGATGAGAATAAAAAAAGTACTGGAAGAAAATCACTCAGGCTGCATATTTGTCATGACTAGGGTAAATTTCTATTAGGGCAGCAACACTTGACTCACATCTAGAACTACAAGGGCTGAGTTCAAGGTATATTTTATAAAGTGCAGCAGTCATAATCTGTGACACTTAAAACGTGATGCCAAGATGTTCTCCATCTAATCTGAATAAATTTAAGCTGTTTTTTTGTTTTGTTTTGTTTTTTTTAAAGGGAACAGGAATCAATTTCAGTCTTTGGATGCGTGAGCTGGTATAAAAAAAAAACAAAAAGATGGGCATTAGTGCAGTAAAAATAGGTCTAGAACCGGGGTAACCAATTAAAAATCTGTGGGATCCGAACAAAGAAAATCCTCGACCAGTAAAGGTCCGGAGACATTTTTAATTATAATCTGTTACTTTAAACAGAATTTAACACTAAAATAAAATAAGGTTTTTATGCATCCATGTTATACATTGGATTTTTAAATAAAAAGATATTTAAAAAAAAAAAATTATTTTTTTTTTTCTTTTTAAAATCAAAAGTGTTTTTTGAATTAGAGAATAACAAGCGTTCAGTTTGGTATATTTACAATTTCTTGTTTCACATACTATATTATATAAACACCTGAACTAACCATTTGTTGTTGTTTTTTTGGTTTATTTATGACTTAATGAGAGCAGTGGGCTTTATGCTGCCCTGCAAGGCTTTAAACCTGGGTTTGAATGGAGACAAAGCCATTCTCAAGCACATATCAAGGTGCTCATTCGTGAGCTTGGATTGATATTTATTTTTGATTATGTTCATGGAGGAAATCCTGCTTCACAGCAGCAGGTTGGGCCAAACATCCTCTAAATATGCAGGGTCATCTTTGAGCACGCCATTTCACCTTTCTTTCACCAGTTCACCACGGTTCTTTCATCAGTCCACACTTTCTCTGCTCTATTTTTGTCATTGCATTCTCCTTCTTTCCCCTCGCCTTGCTTACCACAGATTTGCCTGCTGTGTCTAAAAGTGTCTCGCCGCAGCAACACAGACTGACACAGCTCATTGGCTGATTTGTATGACGTGTAGAATAGTCCTGGGCGCTCCGGAAGGCTTTACCATATTAACAGGAGAAGCGGCACAAGTGAAGTTAGACACTGTCGTCGAACAACATGCGGTAATTTATAAATGTTTTAAATCAGGTTGGGCCAGGATTAGCCAGCAGGTGGATCCGTGATCCGTGACCTCTGGTGACCTCTGGTCTAGAAGGTATCTACTTACGGAGGGTGAATGCAGATCTCTGCCACATTTTTAGTTAAAATATAAATCCTTCCCACCTACTTCATTATTATGAATAGTTTTGTGTTGGTCTAATGTAAACATTTCAGTCACAGTCTTTGAGGGTTTTCCCATTGCAATGGTACAATTGTGAGAAAGTGTGAATGAAAGATTAAAGCAGCTTCCAACAGTTTTGTCCATTTTGGAGATCATCTATAAAATAGGTCTCCAGGATCTGGAATAAGTTCATGCAAGCAACCAGTAGCAAAGTTTCGGAATCTATTTGGTTTGTTTGATCGAGACTCTTTTTCTTTAAGAGTTGAAAATGTCAGTTTACCGTATTTACCCAATTGCTTCTTTTCTTAAGGTTATTTTATTTTTCTTCTGAGAGAAAATCTAGCATATTAATTTTATTTGAACCATAACTGTCACAAAACGGGTCTGACTTAATTTATTTTAGTTCATTCTGAACTCTCCTGATCAAGTCAGTTATCATGTTTAATACACACTGCTTTGACTACTGGCCGTCACACTGTGCCATGATTTCTCCCTTTATGGATGTTCAAAAGAGTAACATAGGTGGAAGAGGGAAAGATGAGAGAATAAGAACAAAAGTGAGAGCACTGGATTACTAATAGAAAGGTCAGAACTCTTCATTTAACAGCCAGCGACTCATAAATGTCCTTGCGTCCGTGTTTTTCACCGACCTTTGTTCACGGAGGCTTCATGGAAATGATGTAGATGAAAAAGGCAGCAGACTGTTGAAATGGGTTTATGTATTGTAACTTTGTATGGCCTTGTGTGTGTCGCTCCCACAGACAGATTCGCATGCTTCATATGCCTTTTATAACCTCCCCCCTTTTGTTAAAGGCTTTGTTTGCAATGATGACCCCCGCTCTGACTGACATTGCTCTGTTTTCATGCTTCTTTTCTTCTCGTCTTGTTTTCGCTCTTGCATCCTGTCGCTCTCCTGTCTGCTCACTTGATCAGCTCCGATCTGCTTCCTTGCCTCTGCTATTTGCAGAAAACCTCTCTGTGACCATTTTGCAGTCAGTTCAAGTGGATGAGGTGTGTATTCATATGCGTGTGTGTGCGTGCGTGTGTGAACGAGTGCGAGTCTAAGCGGCCTTGATCGGATAAAAGGCGCTGAATGAGCGCACCTGAGAGAGAGACTAATAAACATGAAGTGTTGATGGCTTGGTTTGACCTCAGACACATGCAGAAACACACATGTAGACATGAGTGTGTGTGCTGGGCATGAAAAGGCAGACTGTACTGATTCTGAACATTGCTCTCCTCCTCCTTTGCCTCTCTTCTCTTAGGTGACTGATGTTGCTGATGCCATGATCCTCAAGCAACTGTTTGAAACTCTGTTCAAAACCGGTGTGGTGGTGGTGGCCACCTCTAACAGACCCCCCGACGGTATGACCATTGCAATTTATACCAGCTTTTAGCTGTTTCCTATTAAATGTATGTTTAGTGCTATCAGTTATTCAGTGGCCATGGTATGAATGAGATATTTTTTGTTTTAACCCTGTTGAAGTAGAACTTAAGTTCTATGATGAAAGTTTTTTTTTCACTCCAAGTCTATCAGAAGCACATAGAGTAAATTTGATTTCTAGATTATTTTTAAATAAGATCCTAAATCAGAAAGCTAGGTAACCATAATGGATTCAAGTATTGTATTGTATGTAGGCATAATGTTGTGCAAAATGCTTTAAAGAGGCTAAAAAAGCTTTCAAAAGAAAAGTAATGATGCCCCCAAATAATTGAGTAATTAAAATTCCAAGTTAAGAGTTTGGTTGTAAAGGAAAGTTAATGTTTAATCAGTCAGGGAATGCAGTTGTTTGCCTGCAACCTACAGTCACCGGCCACTTTATTAGGTACACCTGTCCAACTGCTCGTTAACACTTCATTTCTAAGCAGCCAATCACATGGCGGCAACTCAGTGGACTTAGGCATGCAGTTCAAACCGAGCATCAGTATGGGGAAGAAAGGTGATTTGAGTGACTTTGAACGTGGCATGATTGTTGGTGCCAGAAGGGCTGGTCTGAGTATTTCAGAAACTGCTGATCTACTGGGATTTTCACGCACAACCATCTCTAGTGTTTACAGAGAATGGTCCGAAAAAGAAAAAACATCCAGTGAGCGGCAGTTCTGTGAGCGGAAATGCCTTGTTGATGCCAGAGGTCAGAGGAGAATGATCAGACTGGTTCGAGCTGATAGAAGGGCAACAGTGACTCAAATAACCACCCGTTACAACCAAGGTGGGCAGAAGAGCATCTCTGAACGCACAGTACGTCGAACTTTGAGGCAGATGGGCTACAGCAGCAGAAGACCACACCGGGTGCCACTCCTTTCAGCTAAGAACAGGAAACTGAGGCTACAATTTGCACAAGCTCATCGAAATTGGACAATAGAAGATTGGAAAACGTTGCCTGGTCTGATGAGTCTCGATTTCTGCTGCGACATTCGGATGGTAGGGTCAGAATTTGGCGTCTACAACATGAAAGCATGGATCCATTCTGCCTTGTATCAACAGTTCAGGCTGGTGGTGGTGGTGTCATGGTGTGGGGAATATTTTCTTGGCACTCTTTGGGCTCCTTGGTACCAATTGAGCATCGTTGCAACGCCACAGCCTACCTGAGTATTGTTGCTGACCATGTCCATCCCTTTATGACCACAATGTACCCAACTTCTGATGGCTACTTTCAGCAGGATAATGCGCCATGTCATAAAGCTGGAATCATCTCAGACTGGTTTCTTGAACATGACAATGAGTTCACTGTACTCAAATGGCCTCCACAGTCACCAGATCTCAATCCAATAGAGCATCTTTGGGATGTGGTGGAACGGGAGATTCGCATCATGGATGTGCAGCCGACAAATCTGCGGCAACTGTGTGATGCCATCATGTCAATATGGACCAAACTCCCTGAGGAATGCTTCCAGCACCTTGTTGAATCTATGCCACGAAGAATTGAGGCAGTTCTGAAGGCAAAAGGGGGTCCAACCCGTTACTAGCATGGGGTACCTAATAAAGTGGGCGGTGAGTGTATATATTTAATGTTCAAGTTAATAAACTATTTATTTTGAATTGATTTTTCAATTTTTTGAAAATATGTACTAATTTTTAATTACATGTTTGCATTATTTTTCCAAACCTGGACAGAAACATGTTTACCTCTCTATAACAACATCAATAAGTGTTTGGGAACCAAGGACATTAACAGTTAAAGCTCTTTAAGTGAAATTCTTTACCGTTTTTATTCCTGTATAACCTCAGCTGCTTAATGGTTCAGGGTCAGCGTCGACATATTTTAAGGTTTCAGCTCTGTGCAGCCAGTCCAGTATTCATACTCGTTTTGCCACAAAGCCATGCTGCTGTAGAACATGATGATTAGTATTATCTTGCTAAAATATGCAAGGACTTCTCTGAAAAATACTTTTACTGGATGGCAGCATATGCTCAGAAACATCTAGGCACCTTTTAGTGGAGCCTCATCTACAAGTGTCCCAAATTTGGATTTGGGTCACCCACATTTTTCAAATATGAGTCCGTCAATCTCAGATGGGCTTGGGCCCAGAAAAGCCACTAGCGTTTCTTGACGTTTTTGAGATGTGGCTTTTGATTAGCATGTTAAGAGCTTTAAAATGCACTTATAGATGTGACGACAAAGTGTTTTAACTGACAGGGGTTTACTGAAGTATGAGCCCATCTGGTAAGATAAGTTACAGAATTACTTCAATTACTCTTAAGGGATCGAAGGTCACAAACATGAGGCAAGGCCTACTTTCTGAATTTTTTGATGATGTAATGAACTATAGATGATAAAATCCATTTATTTCTTGCACTTTTTTAACTGTTCGACTGTTTGTTCACTCAGTTGCTAACAAAATGACTCTTGACCCATCCTTGCTTGTAAGGAACCTTTTGGGGGAGTCCATTTATTAGCCATTGAATGCTTCCAATGACTCTGACCAGATGGGGAATGTTCCAAGTCAGGTGTCTTATGAGCATTTTTAACCTTCTCAGTAATCTGTTGTCCTTGTCTCATATTTCTTTGGAGTTTATGTGTGTTAAAATGCATTCCCAAGTCTTACCATGCTTATTAATCTTTTACTAAACTTAATTGAATTGGACTTGTGTATCGTATTGATAACTTCCCACTCTTCTGATCCATAAATGCATCAGTTTCTAAAGTTATTTGATGCAGTTAATTTGAAAAGCAACAGAAATCCAATAGAGTAATAATGCTGTGTATCAATCAAGCTTGCTTGGTGTTATTAACTTCCAGCTTCACCTTACTTTGTGATCTTCCACTAATCCTGCATGTTAAGGATTTGGTGGATACAGTTTCAAAACTATATATATATATATATATATATATATATATATATATATATATATACTAATGAACCTCTTCTACTTCATTTATATAACTTGAACTTCTTTCGCTGTGTTATGCAGGTGTGCTGTCTAGGCATACTAAATGATTCTAAGTTGTCTCAACTCTTATGTTCAATATAACCAATCAAAGCATTTGGACAGCTTAATGTTTGTCAAGCAGTTATTCTAAAAATAGAAATAAAAAACTGTTTATGAACCACAGGGGGCTTAAATGAGAAGTTTATAGAAAAAGAAAAAGGTAAGGTGAGAGCAGCTTTAGGAAGTTCTTCGTTTCAAAAATAGGATAATGATAAATGGGCTGTACTAGTATAAGAACATTATCAAGTCTACGGACCCCTAAGCCCTTTGCACTTTATTTAGTCAGCATTCGTGCATGTATTCATGCACTGATGGTGGCGAGCTACATTTTAGCCAAAGCTGCACTGGAGTTCAATGACAGGTGTTAGACTGCCATGCAATGCTCTGTATTTTTATTTCTATTTGTGTTGAAACTACCCCTTAAAAAACTGGTTCAATTTTTTTTTATCATCGTTTGTATTTGGTGCATTAAATTGATGGATTGTAGAAAAAATAATAAACAAATGTATGTTTTTCTCCAGGAAAACAAAATGAACATTGCAGCAAAACAGGTATTGGTGGGTCAAACCATGTTTTGTCTTTTTTGGAGAGAAGAGAGAGTAAAAACTTTTATTTACTTCGTGTGGAGATCCCTAAATAAATGAGCAGCTCAAAGAGCAAACAATATTAAAAATGAAGATGAAAAAACACCAGTTATGTATAAAGTCTACTCAGTCTAGCAACCACAGTAATACAGTTTTTTCTTTCAATTTTTGTTCTTCCATCAAATGTAAGATAATAGCTGGAACAAAATGGCAAACTGTGTCAAACAATATTACGCTCACTTAGTAATGAAAGAAAGGTATTATGGTGCTTTTGCTTTAGAAAAGTAAACTTTACCAATATAGGTGGTTCCAGTTTAAACGGGTCTTAGATTACTTCTTAATGCTACCAAATAGCCTGAAGATTAGTCACCCAGGTAAAGAGAATCTAGAAAGGGATCATTTTATTTAGCCGTATACTTTATTTTCCCATGTTGTTAAAAACATGGTAATGATTAATTTCTGTCTGGAACCAAATATTAGAATTTTTGCAGAAGACGACACGTTGACTGACTTCTCATGTTGGCGCCCTGATTTTATTGTGTTTTTCTTTGTCACCTCTTATAGATCTGAATGCAGATGTCCCTTTAGTCACAGTTTCTATTGAGACACCAGCCATCTGAGCATAGACTGAGTCCACGCCATCTGGGCCCGTAAACAAAAAGGCACTCAGATCTTTTCTTCCTACCATTTTAAAACAAAACCAGAATCAGCTGGCTATGTTTAGTATTTTTTATACGGGCCACAGAGAGTGATTTGGAGTTAATTACTGATTTGTGCCATTGCTTTGCACCTGTGTTGATGCATTGTGTTTATCCACTAATTTATTCAGGTCATATATTTAATTTGTCACCTGTCTTTATGAACAACAATTAGAATTTATATCATAACAAATGGCCAAAAAGAGTTGTTGGTTCTACTGAAGCTCTGCCAGGGATATTATCATTAAAATGAGTATGTCCTATAAAGTCTAAATATTAGGCCGCCATTGATTCTGATTTTGTATGTTTTTTTTGTCATGTTCATTGTATTCCTCTAGTAATATACCTTTAAAAAAAGAAATTGAACAAAACTGTTTTGGTTCAATTAATATGTAAACCGTAAAAGCCATTAAGAATTATGAAAACTTCATATTAACTTTGGTGTTAAACTCTCTTTAATTTAGGGCTAATGATCCGATAGTGTGTGTTTTAAAGCCCTTTCTTTAGAGATGCCTTACCCAGGCATTTGTTTTTCATTTTTGCAAGGTGTTAAGTTCTTGGACCCTGGCGAATATGGATGTTAAGTTCTTGGACCCTGGCGAATATGGATGGAAGAATAATTTAAATCTTTGTCAAATCTATTTTAAAAAT